TTTTTTTAAATAACAAACATAACCTTATCCACAATATCGATTAATAGATTATTTCATTAATGTACAAGATCATCAAAACGAAAAAAAAAAAAAAATATTCTTTAAAAAAAAAAAATATGAAAAAAACATTTTCCCTGGTCGTACATTTTATTCGGAATTTTACAATTGAAGCTATTTTAGTTGTGAAATTTTTCTTACTGTAAAGTAGAATTTTAATTTTATTCGTTATAAAAAATAGAAAATATTAAACAATCTATTACAAAGAAATAAACTCATTGTCCCTTTTGAGATGTGATACATATAAGAAGAATTTGTATGATCGACGTTACATATTATTTTAAAGTAAGATCATCATCCCCAAATATTTTTAATATTATTTAAAAAAAATCTCTATAAATAATGGAGTTATTTTTCTTCTAAATTTACTCATCAGATCAAATTTTTTTTTTTAAAAAAAATAAATATTTAACCTTTAAAAAAATGCCAAAGTCTTCAAAAAAACATTCTTCACGAAGAAGACAAGTCCATCTCTTTGAGACTCCACAATTTAAGGCTGAATTAAAACGTTCCATTAATGAAAACCTCGATAAAATGGTTCAAGAAGGTTTTACCTTCCCAACTCACATTCCGTTAGAACAATTACTCGCACCTTGTAAAAAAACTAGGGGTAAAAAAGGTAGAATAACTCGACCTCAAAATGCATTTATTTTATATCGAAAAGATTTACAAGATAAAATTAAAGACGAAAACCCTGATGCCGATTTTAAAGAAATTTCAAGAATTGCCGGGAATCGATGGAAACATGAAGTTGATCACGTAAAAAACAATTATACCTTATTAGCAACACTCGGTGGTCTTGTACATCAAGATCTTTTTCCAAATTATAAATATCAGCCACGACAAAGAGATGAACGTAAAAGTTTTGAGGATGGTGATGATTATGATGAATTTACGAGTGACCGTTCGACTAAACCATGGGAATCGATGCCTCAATTATTTAATAATAATAATAATAACAATTATAATACTTCTGAATTTACACAAGATTATTCAAATTCATCCGAAATGAACTTTCAAGATAATATTTTAATATCCCCTCAGATAATACAAATATCTGAGGATGAACAACCTGTAATGAATGTAATGAATTTAGTCGAATCTTATTATGAACCTTCGATACCATTAAATCAATCTCCAAAAATCGAACCACCAGATGATTTAAATTGTTATGAAGAATTTCATATCGATGATAACGTAATAAATAATTTAAATAATGGGTTATTATCTTCGTTGAATAACGAACATACGTATAATAATAATATAAATTCTCCAGAAAATTCCACAAACGATGAAATATCCGATCTTTTGATTTTTCCAACTGTAAATTCCTTTAATATTCAACCGGAAACGACTCAAAGTTCAACGTATGTTCCTCAAGTTAATACAACAATACCTTCATTTTATGCGTCGATCATAGATAATATACCAGTTTATGGTGATCAAATTGCTCCTATTTTAACCGTTAGTTCGGATTCAGAAAATTATACTCCGGTTCAGAATATTCAAAATGTTCAAGATTCACTTGATGAATCATTACAAACCTACGATATGGGTTTTCTTAACGATTGGGCCAATGAAGAATTAATTGGTAATCTTTATCAATCTTAAATCAAATCGAACGTTTACGTTATGAACATTATTTTTCGTTTCCTATTTTTTTTTTTCTTTTTCTTTCTTTTATATATACATACATATATATAAATATATATATATATATCATATTTTTATCCAGCATTATTTTATAGTATTAATAGTATGTAATTATCGGGTCTTTTTTCTTTTTTTTGTGAAAACGTATTTATTTTTTATTTATTGTTGTTATTATATTTTTTAAGTGAATATTCTCTCTATTCTCTCTGTAAATAAGATATAATAGAATTATATCTATCTTGTCGTGTAAACATAAGGAATAAAAAAAAAAAAATACAAATAATACTTTTTTTAAAAAAAATTT